TGAGAAACTATTTGTTCTGTAAGCCTTCACCTGAAGTACAATTAAAAAAAAAAAAAAGAGAGAAAAAATATGTCTGTCAAAAAAAACGGAGTCAATAATAAAAATTAATCTCTTGGATGAGGTTTGTTCAGGCAGAAGATTCTAGAATGGGGTAACACCAAACCAAAAGTAGAAAGGTGCTTCACCAAGTATCAGCAGTGATTGGCTTTTGTTGACAAAACGCAGAAGCAAAGGAAGCTTATCTCCGATTGGCTTACACAATTCACTGCTGAAGTGCCCTCAGGCTCTCACTGGTCCGCGAGGGTGGCCTGCTTTACAGGAAAGTTCCGCTTAAGTTTCCGTAAAGCTAAGGCTTAGGGGTGTTGTCCACTCAACCGCCACTGTTTTGTCAACCACAAGACTCCATTTTTATTTTATTTAACATGCCTTAGACTTGATAAACTGTGATACCGCACACTAAAATCCAGGATGTTATTGACAAGAGTGAGAAGATAACATGAACGAGGCTGTCTTCCCATCCCACGGATTTCTCCATTCCGTGAGCTCTTTCACTAATCAGCTAACTGGGGCCCCTCCACCCTCTGTCTCTCCAGGTGCGGGGAGGACCTCAGTCAGGATCAGCAGCAGCTCCTGGAAGGGATCTCAGAGCTGGACATCCAGACCGAAGGCATTCCCTCGCAGCTCCTGGTGCACGGGGCGCTGGCCTTCCCCCTGGGGCTGGATGCCAACCTCGGCTGCTTCCTGGCCGCTGCCCGCTACGGCCGTGGCCGAGTGGTGCTGGCTGCCCACGAGAGCTTGCTGTGTGCTCCCAAGATGGGGCCCTTTTTGCTCAATGCTGTTCGCTGGCTGGCCAGAGACCAGGCAGGCAAAATTGGGGTGAACATGGGTTTGACGAGCCTGTGTCCCCTGCTGTCAGCAGGGGGCCTGGCCTGCAGCCTGGAGCCCCAGCTGACCAGGGACATGTGTGTCTACTGCTGTAAGGCGTACAGTGACCAGGAGGCCCGGGAGCTTCAGGAGTTTGTGGCTGAGGGCGGGGGGCTGCTGATTGGGGGCCAGGCCTGGTGGTGGGCTTCCCAGCACCCGGGCCACTCCGCTCTGGCCAGCTTCCCTGGGAACCGCATCCTCAACCCCCTCGGCCTCAGCATCCTGGCTCAGACCCTCAGCCCAGGCCGTTTCCCAACACCAGCACCCAAGATGAGGAGCTACCACTTCCGCAGGGCACTGTCCGCCTTCCAGGAGGCTTTGAGCATGGAGAAGAGCTGGCTGGCCAGGCTGGGCGTGGATGGCGCAGCCTTCCTGCAGATTCCCACTGAGGGGGTCCCCGCCTATGCCTCCCTGCACAGGCAGCTCAGAAAGATACTGCATCAGGCTGGCCTCCCAGCCGTGAGCCGGCACAGCCCTGTGGCCCGTGACTCCCGCGAGGCTGTGCTGCTCTGCCTGGCCACGGAGCTGGCCCGCTCGGGCACCGACTGCTCCCGGCTGGCCCAGGGGCCGGGAACTGGCACCTGCCCCTCCAGCCTGCGCCTCTTTGAGCAGCCCATCACCGTGGAGATCAACGGGACCAACCCAGGTGTGTGGGTGGGGAGGGCCCAGGTGGGGCCGGGGCGGCAGGATGGACCTCTGCCTTGAGTAATTGAGGAGGATGAGTCAGGACGTGGATGGCTGTGGCGAGCAGGGGAGAAGCTGTCCCTCCCGGGGGGCAGGTGGAGACGGAGCCACCCAGGGGGCACTCAGCTTTCCTCTCGGCTTCTGCCAGGCAGCAGTGATTCCTGGGTAAGCACAGGGCTCTACCTCCTGGAAGGACAGAGTGCAGAAGTCTGTCTGTCGGAAGCCACCACCTCTGCTGGCCTGAAGGTAAGGCCAGAGCACCCCAGCGATACCTCCCAAAGCCACGTCCTGCTCCCATGCACAGCAGTGCTACCCGGGGTACCAAAAACCCATTGCCATCAAGTGGTCCCCGACTCGTGGTGACCCCAGGTATGTCAGAGTAGAACTGTGCTCCATAGGATTTTCAATGGCTGATTTTTCAGAAGTAGACCACCAGACCTTTCTTCTGAGGCACCTGTAAGTAGACTCCAACTACCAACCTTATGGTTAGCAGCCGAGCACTTTAACGATGTGCACCACCCAGGAACTCCACCTGGAGTATAGGAAGGTGTTATTCTGCCCATTTTACAGATGAAGCAGCTAAGTTTCAGGGAGCCGAGGCCCCAGAGCCACTCATGTCAGATCCAGGATCAACCTAAGCCCCTGATTTCTGTATGTGGGGTTTTCCCTGCCCACAAGGGTGCTGTGAGATTCCAGCTGTGAGGAACAGGCCTGGCACATACCCAGCACCTCACCACCCGCACGAGTACAAGGCCTGTCTGAGTTTGGCCTCTTTCCTCAACACCTGAAAGAAGCTACCTAATCCCAGCACCTCCCGCAGAACTGAGACTTCCTGCCTCCTCCGTTCTCAGGGCTGGTTCCGACCACAGTGAGGACCCTGCGTCAGGTCCTTTCCAGACTGGTGGCATTAGACCTAGGAAAAAAGATCCGAAGGCCAGACAGAAACAGGACTCAACCATCCGACCCGGAAGGGACCCTAAGGAAAGGGGGGGATAGACCCCATCCTCCGTCCCTCAGGCCAGATGGCACAGCTTCTGACCAGCCCATCGGGCTCGCTCCCACTCAGAGCCACCATATGGCTCAGGCCCAGTGCCAGTGCCCGGTGCAAGGACACACCTGTCCCACCTTGTCTCTCACCCTCAGGTAGCTCCCCTGTGGAGCTGTGTAAGCCCTGAAAGAGGATTGTGCGGACTAGAAGCGCTAACCCATGTAGGGATCCACTCATGGCCCCCGGAGAGGAGAAGTGCAGGCCATGGCACACTCCATCCACATGCTCTGCACCCCAGGGCACATCCCCAGGGATGCCCTTCCTCCCGACTCAGGTGGGTCTCTCCTGCAGGTACAGCTGGGCTGCCACACGGATGACCTGAGCAAGGCCAGCAAGCTGTGCCGAGCACCCATGGTGACCCACCAGTGCTGCATGGACCAGCCCCGGCGGTCAGTCTCCTGCCTCTGGGGGGGCCTGCTCTACATCATCGTGCTCAAGGGCAGCACTCTGGGCCCCGTGCCCATCACCTTCAGGGGGGTTGTGCCAGCCCCCTACTACAGGCTGGGTGAGTGGGGACCAGGGCTGTGCTGAGGCAAGAGGGGATCTGCAGACCCGCAGCAGTGATGGGCTGTAGGAGGGGAGGGGTCAGGAGGAGGAAGAACTGTTAGGGTGGAAATACAGGCCCTGTGTCCAGGTATACCATCCAGAGATACGGGATGCCCTGCATCCAGGGATACGGAGCATCTTATGTCCAGGGATATGGAGCACCCTGCATCCAGGGATACAGGATGTCCTGCAACCATGGATACAAGATGCCCTGCATCCAAGAATATGGAACACCCTGTGTCCAGGGATATGGGATGCCCTGTGTCTGGGGTTATGGGACACCCTGTGTCCAGGGATATGGGACATGATGCATCCATGGATATGGAAAGCCCAGTGTCCAGGGAGGAAACATTCATGGTGAAGTGGTCAAGAGCTCAGCTGCTAACCAAAATGTTGGCAGTTTGAATCCACCAGGTGCTTCTTAGAAACCCTATGGGGCAGTTCTACTCTGTCCTATAGGGTCACTATGAGTTGAAATCGACTCAACAGCAATAAGTTTGGTTTGGTTTTTTGGTGTCCAGGGTTATGGGATGCCCCGTGTCCAGGGTTATGGGATGCCCCATGTCCAGGGATGCAGGATGCCCTATGTCCATGGCTGTGGGTTGCCCTGTGTCCAGGGTTGTGGGATGCCCTGTGTCCATGGATACAGGATGCCCTGTGTTCAGGGTTATGGGATGCCTTGAGTTCAGGGATATGGGACACCCTGTGACCAGGGTTATGGAATGCCCTGTGTCTAGGGATAGAGCGTCCCACATCCATGAAGACTTCAGGATAGACAGAAGGCTGTGGAGACCCCTTCTTCACCTCACAGCATGGAGACACATATGATAATAATTCATTACCTCAGTGGTCCCTCCTGGGGTCCCAGTTGGGTTTTTCAACCAGGGAGAGGTGGAGAAGTGAGTGACGGTCCGTGATACTTCTTCCCAGGTCAGACATCCCAGGAGGAGTGGAGGAGGCTCATCCAGGAGAGCCCGGCACCCTGGGGGGAGCTGGTGACGGACAACATCATCCTGACCGTGCCGACCACTAACCTGCGCTCTCTGGAGAACCCTGAGCCCCTGCTGCGCCTCTGGGACCAGATGATGGCAGCTGTGGCCAGGCTGGGCGCCCAGCCCTTCCCCTTCTGCCGCCCTGAGAGGATCGTGGCAGACGTGCAGATCTCAGCGGGTGGGTGCCTGGGAGAGGCGGCCAGTCAGTGGGCACCACCCATTTGTTATTTTGCCTTTTTTGAAAGTCCAATTTGAGTAAAGCATAATTTTACCAGTAAAGTGGGGGAAAAAAGACATAAAAGGCATGAGCTTTACTAGGGATGAAAAGATGCTCACACGTGAAAAGGTAAATCCTTTAAACCTTCAAGATGATATTTCTCAGGATGGTAGAAAAAGCTATAAAGATGGCTCTAGGGGCCCACAGATGGCAGTTAGAGTGTTTCAGGGAGAGGATGAAAAATGAAATAGCTCCCTCAAACATAAGTCAGAGTGGGCAATGAAAAGAGGAAGTGAGTGAAAAGGTTTATGTCAAACATCAAGAGGTTTAGAGGAAAGGGGCATATAGAGAAGAATAAGGAGCCCTGGTTTCCAGTTAGGAGCTTGGCTGCTAACCAGAAGGTCGGCAATTTGAATCCATCAGCTGCTCCTTGGAAACCCTCTGGGGCAGTTCTCCTCTGTCCTACAGGGTCGCTGTGAGTCGGAATGGACTCAACGGCAGCGGGTTTGGTTTTGGTTTTGGTTTCCACATGGAGAAATTTTCTTTAGACCTAAGTTTTCTCTATAAAGTAGGAATGCTGGGCAAAATCATCACTTTTGTGGAGTGTAAATCTGGAGAACAAGGGTTTACACTAGGAAGAAAGAATGGCATTGCTCCTCGAGGAGTCTCAAATGCAGATCTAGGACATGATGGCACAGGCTCACGTGGGAAGGAAGTCCACAAAAAACTGAGACATTGGATTATAGCCAGAAAGACTGCATAAAGTGTGTGCATATTGTTCAGGGCCAGAGTGAGGGGAGGCATAACTCCGGTGAGGGAGGCTGGGAGGGGGACCAGGCACACGTTAGTTCCTGTCTGAGTCTAGAAGAGCATCTGCGTTCTAGTCAGCAAGGAGATCCTGGAATCACTGGGGCACCAGGACGAAAGGGGAAATCACACAATGGGGAGGAGTGAACCTCACACGCCCATCTCTTCCTCCTGTCCTCCAGGCTGGATGCACTCAGGGTACCCCATCATGTGCCACCTGGAGTCAGTGCCGGAGCTCACCAACGAGGCGGGCATGAGGAGCAGCGGCCTCTGGGGACCCGTCCATGAGCTGGGCCACAACCAGCAGAGGTCTGGGTGGGAGTTTCCCCCGCACACCACCGAGGCGACTTGCAACCTGTGGTCGGTCTATGTGCACGAGACGGTCCTGGGCATCCCCCGGGCCCAGGCCCACCCAGAACTGAAGCCTCCAGAACGGGAGAAGAGGATCAAGACACACCTGGGCAAGGGAGCCCCCCTGAGCAACTGGAGTGTGTGGACGGCCCTGGAGACATACCTTCAGGTACTGGGCAGAAAGGAGGGAGGTGGACCCCAGACCCACAGTTGTGTAGCCCTCACTGACCCCAGGTGCCCTCCAGCTCCTTCACCATCCAGGTGTCTCTCAGGTTATACATCCCTAAGATAAAGATAATGGCACGTAGCCCTCCCACCTCCCCATGATTTTGTGATGGTAAGTAAAAGGAAATGGGAAGTATTATGAAAAAAATAATAGTGACTAATACAGCCCAAGGTCAAGGACAGAGGCTCTGAGTTAGACACCCCAGGACTCAGTCACAGCTCTCACTCACTGAAGTGAACTTGTCCGCTAACAAGTGCTCCATAAATGGTAGGGTTTTTTTTCGGTTTTGTTCTGTTTTTCCTTATCTTGGTTTTCTGAAGCAAGTAAGAGTCATGTCATGATGTGATAACAGGGACAACTGGTTGACCAGAGGTATGTGAGGAAATCAGTCTGATAGCAAGGTTTTCCAACCTCCATCACCCGACTTGAACCCAAAATGAAGAAACAACTGACGGACCAACCCAACAGGAAAACCCCAAGGTCATGAAGCAAAGTCTGTTGTGGGCTGCTGTCTAGTTAGCTCCCGACTCATGGTGACCACACGCACAAAGGAACGATCCTGTGTGGCCCTGTGCCACCCCCATGATTGGTTTCGGATTGGACTGTTAGGATCCATAGGGATTTCATTGGCTGATTTTTAGAAGATCTCCACGCCTTTCTTCTCCGGCGCCTCTTGGTGGACTTCAACCTCCAACCTTTGATTAGCAGCCAAGCTTATTAACCATTGCACCACCAGGGATTCCAGGAAGCCCCCAAGCTCCCTGCTAATCCTAAAGCTCTATAGTCTTAGCTGTCAAAGGCCTCCTGCCAGAGGCTTCCCGGGGCTGCCTCTCTGTGAAGGTATGAGTCACTCTCATTTGAGCCCTGGGACATGCCTTCTTCCTCCTTTTTTCACCCCAAGGCAGTGTTCCACAGAGCAACACGGTAGCCTTGCAGATAGTCACAGATCAGCGATGGCTATAAAAAAAAGTAAGAGTATTATTATGTCCAGGAATATTGGGGGTTGCCAGCTTTTGGGGTCCCAATATGCCAGATACGTAAGATGCGAGGGTTTCTTTGCTCAGCCAGCCTGAAAACCTGCCGTGATGCCTAGGAAAACGCTTGGAGACATAATCCTTGTAAATGAAAGATAATAACGATGGCTGTCACTGGTGGCGCAGTGGTTAAGAGCTCGGCTACCAGCCAAAAGGTCAGCACTTCAAATCCACAAGCTGCTCCTTGGAAACCCTATAGAGTAGTTCTACTCTGTCTTATAGGGTCGCTATGAGTCGGAATCGATGTGATAGCAAGGGGTTTGGGTTTTTTTTTTTTTTTTTGGTCATTTGTTGAGCATTTAGCTCTTGTCAGACATTCAGTTCCCCGTGACCTCACACACTAGCCCGAGGAGGTGTAGGATTTGTGGGCAAGAGGCGGGATGAGTACAAGAGATTGTGTTTCTTTGCCAGGGTGCGTGGGGACTTGGGGACAGATATTAAGAGTGAAGTTAATGGTCAGAGGACGTCATCGCTGTAACATAGGTGTGAACATGTGTAGGGAATCCCTTTGGCAAACGAGATGCCTCGCTCTGCCCCTTCTTTCTCTCCTGTAGTTGCCATGTTATGTGGGGTGGCTTTGGTAGACCAGATGCCTCACTTGTCCCCTTCTCTCTCTGCCAGCTCCAAGAGGCTTTTGGGTGGGAGCCCTTTACCCAGCTCTTTGCTGAGTACCAGACCCTCTCTGGCCTGCCAAAAGACAACGCCAGCAAGATGAACCTGTGGGTGAAGAAGTTCTCTGAAAAAGTGCAGAAGAACCTGGCACCTTTCTTCAAGGCCTGGGGCTGGCCGGTGCAGAAGGAAGTGTCTGACAGCCTGGCCTGCCTGCCCGAGTGGCAGGAAAACCCCATGAGAGGGGACCTCCTTTCCCAGAAGTGAAGGATGTGTAGCCAGCAGGGTCGGGGGAGGGGTGGTCAGTCCTCTAACTCCACCACCATTTCTGGCCTTGTTCCCCAAGTGCCTTGAACCTGAATCCTACTTCCCAGCCCACCTTCAGGAAGATGGTGAAGCTCCTAGGACAGAATGGAACCACCTTTCTCAGGAGCATGCCCCAAGCCTCTGCTCTCACCCACGAGAGTCCTCTGGACCCTGCAGCAGCCCAGCTCCAAGAGACACCAAGACTCCGGAGACTTGGTTTACTGTCGTGACCTCTGGTGGAGGGGTTTTCATCCTGCAGACCCTTAGCTTTTATTTTAAACCATTGGTACCAAAGACCATGGACCTCAACTGGAATAACTTTACCATAATACCCTCTTCTCCCTCCCTCACGCTGCTGGCCCTGAGCAAGGCTGTTTCTGTCTTCTACCTTGAGGAGTTTTCTAAGAGCTTGAGAGACAGGCTGATGGAGTGGAGAGAGCCCCGAGCCAGCTTTGGGGGTCTGGGACATCACCTACCCGCTCTGTGTTTCCGTGTTCTTATTCATAAAAACCTCTGCCTCCAGGGATGTCGTAAAAATTCAGATCAGTAAGTGTGAGTATGTCAGTGCACCCCAATGTGTGTCCACGTTACCGGCGTTCTTTGCCTTCTGCTTGGCCCTGTAGTGGCCTGGCTGCCCAGTCCAGTGTGGACAACGTGGGAACTGACTCTCACTCGAGTCAACCACCTCCAGGGCAGCTTTCAGTCCCTTCCACTTTTTTTTTTTTTTTTTTAGTAGTATCTTATTGTGTTTAAGGTGAAAGTTTACACAGCAAATTGGTTCCCGTTTAACGACTTCTACACAAATTATTCAGTGATGTTAGTTACATTTTTCACAATGTGTCATCATTCTCATTCATTCCATTCTGGTTGTACTGTTTCCAGTACTCTAGTGTCCCTGTCCCCCTACCTTTTTGTCTCTGCTTTACAGTCGCTGTTGACCACTTGGTCTCCTAAACATTCAGCGCCTTCTGTGAGAGAATTCAGAGGACAATTGATGTTGTTCCCAGACCTGGTGTCAGTAAGGAGAGTGGGTGGTTCCCTAGCCCATCCTACGTCTCTTCTCCCTCCTCGGGAAGGATTCTCGGTGTGACCCAACCCAAGGAAAACTGGTGCAAACTCCAACTGAGTGCTGCAAAGCTACTGGAGTGTGTTCTTTTTGGGTAGCTCTGTCTTCCCGTACTTTTGTTTAATCATAGAGAAAAGCCACTTTAGCCCCCCTTCCCAAGTCCATAAGCCCTTTGTGCTTAGCACGAGCAGGCCCCTGGCTCCTCCAGTCTCCATGGAACCAAGACACAGCTGGTTTCCATCAGCAGCTGTGCAGAGAGGTCTGTGATTTTGGCAGACTTCACTCTGGACCGCAGTTACTGGGCACAACAGACTTCACTTCATTAACCCACAATACAACATTCCCTTACGCTTTCTCATCGCCCCATTCAGACCCATCCCAGTTCTTCGGGTAGGTGAGGCTCTAATTGGAGATTTGTCTCTAGGATTAATGGGGTGTAAACCTAGCCGTTTTTCTCCAGCTGACTTGTAAACCATATTTTTGTTTGTTGTGAGTATCATTATGTGAGCTTTGTTGAGAATAGAGACTTCTCAGACAGGAGACTGACCTAGGGAAGGGCTTTTTGTGAATCCCATCGGCATGTTCTTTTCATTTGAAAAAAAGAGTTCTACCTCTCCAAGTTCCTAAAGATGACACAAGGAAAAGTCATTACTTAAAAATGTTAAGCGTAGGTTGGGAAATATAAGGTTGAGAAAAAAATTATAATAGACATTTTAGCAATCTGTCAAGCCAAAGTTCAGAACACTTAAGATGTTGGGTGAGCAGATACCCAGAGAGACAGAGAGAAAAAGCTCCTGCTTTGAGGATCAGCCAAGAGCTTAATCTGATGGCGCAGCCTCCGAGTTACCACATCAAATGTCAGTACCTCAGATCAAGGGGGAAACCCAAAGCCAGCCCCAGTGGAGCAACTCAGTGGCGCTTTCCATCTTGGAATTCAGTGAGAAGAACCCTTTTTTCTTTTTTGCTAGTCTTCCAACAAATCTGCTTGGATTTACTGTCCTTTGATGAAGAGTAACCGGATGAATAACCTCAGGAAAACCAGTTCTTTTGATTGAGTTATGGGTGGAAGGGAAGAATTCAACAACAGCAGCAACAACAAAGCCCCTCTCCCTCTGCCTTTTGTTCCTGGTTCCTTAACAGTCTTACAGTGACTCTGTTACTGAAATAACAGAAAACTCGGTGGACATTCGGAAATGCACATTCAACAGAACTCTAGGGAAAGCCAAGCCGAGCAAAGACATTGCTGTGACTAAGAACAAGCTGCCAGCACTGAGGAATGGCATTGCGGCTGAGCACAGCTCCCCTGGGTCCGCAGAGACTGGAGCAGAGGACGCTTTGTGCTTCAGGAAGATGAATACAAGTTAGATCCGTGAGACTGAGACACCCTCACAAATGACACCCCCTTTAATATGGCCTTGCAGCCTTTGCCCTCCATCACATGGTTCTGATTGATCTTTATGATGGAAGCATGAACAAAGAAGCCATAGTCTGAATGGGTGGTTGAAATGTATGGCCATTGAGAACTTTCAGGATTGAATCAGTTCAGTTACCTATGGGAAGGGCTGATGAACTGTTATTAACAAACAGACCCAACAGGGGAGTTATAGCAAACAAATACCGTGCATTTGTGTTACTACATTCAGAGCAAAGGACCTAAAAATCTATATTCCTGAGCACATTGGCTCCCAGGGATATCAGCCTAGGTCAGGTGGATTGTGAATAAACTTCTGTCGTCATGGTCTATTACAAGTGCTTTTCATTTATTTATTCTCACAGCAGTCCTACAAAATCAGTACTATTACTATACCCATTTTGCAGAAAGGTAAATAGAGATATGGAGCTCGTAAGTCGTTAAGCTACTCTTTCAACTCCAGCAGGTGGACCCTGGAGCCCACACTCTTGGCCAACCTACTGTCTTACAAAGTGCCTGGATCTGCCGCAACCGCAACTCTTCTTGCATGAGACTGTGGGAGTGGCTACTGAATCAGCAAGTGCCCATATCCAAGCTGCCAAAAACCGAATGGGTTATCTATAGTTACTCAGAAGGCAGTTATCTAATGACCAGAGCCATTCATCCAAGGCATACATCTCTCAGGATACAGAACAAGGCCCTGCCCCACTATTCTAGCCCAGAGGGTTTTAAAGGTCCGTGCCTCCAATAAGACCTTGGTAGATCCCCAGAGGAAGTCGGTCTTAAACCAGGGCTTATCCAAGAGTCCCTTGTTCATTCTAGGGATGTGCTGGCTGTCATGGGTCCCGTCTGAAAGCACTGGGCACAGGACAGCATGCATCTTATGGGTCATTACACCCAGAATCAGACACATCCGAACTCCTAGCAAATTGGATAAATTTCAGGGGAAAGAAATAATCATAGGATGCTTTAGGGAAGTAATAATGGATACTTTTAAGTTTTGAAGAAGAGAGAAAGGGCCCTGCCTTTTCTCCTGTCCTATAAAACCACCACCCTCCCCAATGCAGTATAGCCCCTGACTTGTTAGAAGAATGGACTAATTTCAAAAAATTAAAGCATTTGTGATTGGTCACACTTAATGGGACCATCAAGGCTCCTCACTACTGTCCAATACTGTTAAAATGAAATAGCATGCACTGCTGTAGGGAATTAATTTCTGTAGTGAATAAACCCTAGACATCGTGGAGTCTGTGGTCACTTCTGCTGCTCTTTGTATCCCCCTTGTGGTCATTAGAAAATCTATGGCTCCTGGCTAACAACTGGATCAAGATTACTAAAATTGTTCCCACCATAGCAAACTCAATATACCCATGTCACCTCCAGTGCAGTAACTCATAAGCCAATATGATCTTCACTTTTGCTATCCATAAAAATCACCCAAGTCAATTTGTTTTTACTGTGAGGGAAGCAAATTCAACTACTATTTTGCTCAAAGTATTGTTAGAATGGATTTACATTCTTGACACACACCAGATGTCTTAGTGCTGCTGTAACAGAAATACCACAAGTGGATGGCTTTCACAAAGAGAAATTTATTTTCTCACAGTCTAGTAGGCTAGAAGTCCAAGTTCAGGGCGTCAGCTCCAGGGGAAGGCCTTCTCTCTCTGTCGGTTCTGGAGGAAGGTCCTCATCATCAGTCTTCCCCCGAACTAGGAGCTTCTCTGCGCAGGAACCTCGGGTCCAAAGGACATGCTCTGCTCCTGGTGCTTCTTTCTTGGTGGTATGAGGTCCCCAATTCTCTGCTAGCTTCCCTTTCCTTTTATCTCTTGTAAGGTAAAAGGTGGTACAGGCCACACCCTAGGGAAACTCCCTTTACATTGGATCAGGGATGTGACTTGGGTAAGGGTGGTGTTACAATCCCACCCTAATCCTCTTTAACATAAAATTGCAATCACAAAATAGAGGCCAATCACACAATTCTGGGAATCACGGCCCAGCCAAATTGATACACACATTTTTGGGGGGACATACTTCAAACCATGACACCAGAGTCATTGGCTTTGTCAATTACATCTATGAAGCTTTAATGAAACCAATTTAAATAGATAAAATTGTTAAATCAATTTAATCAAGTTAAATCAATTTAATCAAAGTGACATCTTGGCTTTTTAAAACTTTAAAGAGATTTTTTTTGCAGCAGATTTGCCAAATGCAATATGCCATTTGATTTCTTGATTGCTGCTCTGTGAACCTTCATGGAATAAATGACTATTAAAAGGAAAAAGCCTGAGAGTCTCCCCAGGCTACATCTTTTTGGCCACAGATGTATTCCAATCTCAGAGAAATACCCTCCCAACATAAACCTCACCTCCTCTCACTTAAGCCCCCTCTTCTAAGAAAGAGGCACTGAGATTAGTAGGCATTTTAACTACCAGAGGCAGCCCATTTAATATTCCGGCATGCTTCTCCACTCTGACCAGTAGGGGCGCTCAGATGAGTTCCCCTTCCACCAGGGAAAAGAAGCAATAAGATGTCCCAACGCTCTTCAGGCCCCAAACAGGCTGCCCTTCCTTTTGGGTCATTTCACACCAAGTAGAACATGCCACCCCCACCTGGTCACTCCAGAACACTTCTTTGGCTGACCCACCCCCCTCCCAGCCCTGGTTTCCAAATAAAGACATTTACTCACAGAAGGACATCAAGTGCTACCAATGATTTATCAAAAATTGAGAAATGACAGGACCCCCATCCACAAGGTAGTTAAGGCTCAATAAGAACTCTGCCAAAAAGCATATCAGGCCCTTCACTAAAACTCCATTCATGAGGGGTTTCCTCCATACCTGGGTCAATACCCCCTCACCAAATGGGAACCATGATCAGGGAATTCTGATCCCACCCTTGAAACCAGAATCTCTGTTCTCAAACTTGTGGGGAGGGCGCACTTTAGAAGCTGCTGGGTTGGCCATGCTTTGTGACTACAAGATGGCAAGCCTTGTCTAAGTTGGCAGAACTAGAAGCAGCATCCGTATCCTGCCCGGAGATCCCAGGCTGCCTCATCGAGTACTCAGGTACACAGAGAATCCTGCACCACCTGCAGAGAGCTGGCCCTGGGCCCTGGCCTCAAGCACAGACAGCGAGAATATTGGATCCAAACTGATCCAGAGTAAATCAACCTGAAAGCAATTGGCCAAACAAACAGATAGAGAAGCATTTCAGTCTCGTATACTGACACCGACTGTCTTAGTCAC